ACAATGCCAGCAAAGAAAATAAAACTTGCTCGCAAATGAGGGCCCAAACCTAGCATGCAACGAGAGACCTGTCACATCGTCAACATGTACTGTTGGATACTCGTGACCGTGACCGTCCAAGGTACCGAAACACATACATGGCAATTTTGTCTGTTCCAAGTCATTACCTAAGTCCTAACTGTACAACTATATTGAAAAACAAGACCTTGGACATTCTTGGAAGTTGTGGAGGCACTACCACTGTGAACTAGAATCAGCATTACCTAACGAGAATGCATACAAAACATTATTCTTCATCTCATGGAGTGTTACCAACGCCCCACTATGCCGACAAGTCAATGCTATTGCATCATGACCCTACCCTGTCATGGCTTTGGCATGCACTTTGTGGACGTACCGACATAGCAGCAGCAAGCGTCACCCTTTGTTGTAGGTCATAAAGCCTTCAGGAACTACCGCTGGGAATATCTCGCTAGACTTGGGAATATCATTAGCCTACGGCAGCGTGAATGCTTCCTTACAACATTGTGCAACGTGTCCGGTCGCCCATCACCTTGCCCCATCACCGTGTCGCGTCCGGTGCTGGAGTGCAAGGCTGCAAACCGTCATACGCCCAGTGCCCACCGTCGTACCATATTCGCATGGCCCTGCGGCGCCGATCAGCACGAGACGGCCGCTTATCAGCTGGTCGCCGCCGGTCGAATTCCTGTGTGCGGGAGGGGATGACGCATCGCATAACTGGTGCCACCTGTCCATACCTGTACTGCCCCCGCCGCAGGCTGCTACCTGCCGCCGCGCCGCCGCAGACCGCCGCCCCGCGGCCGCGGGCGGCGCGTGCGACGCGATTTGGAGGGCGCGCGGTGAGTAGCGGCATTAGTCACCGACACGGCGGGACGGGCACTGAGTCACACGGCCGCGCCGCCACCGCAGCTGGACGGGTGACCGCGCCCGGTGGCGTCCCACCCCCGCGTCGCCTAGGTCGCCCCGGAGGAGCCGCGGGCTGTCCCGCAGCTATTCATAGCCGTTCACAGGCTGAACGGTGCAATGTCGTGATTGCTCATCGCATCCGACTTGTTGCAGACCCTCCGCCCACGGTCAATAAGCCGCCCGCCTCCACACGCTTCCGTCCGGCATCTCCCGGCGCCGCCCTGTGCTAACCTCCCAGCGCACACTGGTCGGAAACGCTCCAGCGAGAGGCCAGCGGCCTTTCCGCAAAAGTTTTTTGCTTGTTATTCCACAACTAGTGAAGCAAACTTCATACAACTTTGCATACCTTCTCTGTCATATGTAAGCTATCATTTGGATGTCAAGCACTAAATATATGACGTGAATCTGTTAAGTTATGACGTCATAATTGAGTATAATACAGGATCTAGCACCACTTTAAGTCAACAAGGGAAATTGGGAGCTGCTATTCGGGCACCGGGAATGGTTTCATGCACTCCTTGCAAGGTCCAGTGCTTGACTTTAGCATTGTTGACTTTGCGTGACGTCATTTATGACGTCACTAAGGCCATATAAGTTTTTCGTCAATAACTCCTGATCAGATAGAGCTAGAGAGTCGGAAAAGCCACCATTGGACTCAGGAAGACCTGCCAAATCGAATGATATGCAATATGACCTCCTTCAACCATTTTCGTGACCTGAGGGGCTCCGACCTGACCTTGACCCGAGGTTAACACCTTAAGTTGACTTCACCCGAACACCAAGTATAGCATTCAACGCGCCTGAGCTAGACAAACACGATGATGCCAAAATCGCGGCAGTGCGACCATTTTTAGCAAAGTAATTAACCTAAAACCGAGCCTGTGCCTTGTGGCACTTACCTGACCTAAGAGGTCACTGGCTGACCTAAGACCTTAAAATCGGGTAGTACCTAATTTTTGCGTCTTATAACGGCACACAGGTTTGTTTTTTTTCGCGAGGCTCTAGCTCAATTAGAGGCGAAACGGCGAGGGAGTTGTACCAACCCTCCCCGGTCAATATAGAAAACCAATCGGTCCGGCCAGGGTTAGATACCGGAATTGTGATCTAATGTAAAAAGACGGCCCAAGGTAACCCGACGTCAGTGACAGGTGTCCTATATTTGCAGCGTCTTATATGTATTTACGAAGGTTTCAATTTCCACTTTCTTCAGCCGAGTGATGGTTGTCAATAGCAAGGCTCTCTAAATGCAAGCCGTAATCGCCACGCAATGTGTGGAAGGCTTTTGATGTCAATACATACATAAATGCATACATAAAACGCGCTTTTCACAAAATTCATAAACTCAGGCGCATCTGTTTTTAATGACCAGTCAACTACGCATGGATGCGTGCAGGCCACACAGGTCAGCGTAAGCCGGGCGCGGCGGCCGAGCCGAAACTGGGGCGGGGCGGGCGGTAGTTGGGTAGGAAGAGCGGCTCCTGCAAATTTTGCGCAAATATGCGCAGTTAGCTTTTATGTTGCCCTGGTGTAAAATTAAATCCTACTTCATCTCACAAAAAAATCAGAGTGGAACTAGATGGGACTACCTGTTGTTTCCTTACCTAAACTTTGCAGTTATATTCCAGAATCACTGTAGGAGAGCCTTCATAAAAAAGCTATAGTACATCTTAGTTAGGGATTTAGTATGCCAAAAATTTTGCACTGACCAATCGGCAACTTCATAACGAACATTTTGATGCATAATATGTGGGATTTCAATTTGGTGTCTATCAGCAATAAGACTCTGAATATCCGGCTCAAGAAACCTCTTGCTCCGCGTCAGTTTCCGAGTTCTGGGATACCCCATCTTCGGGGGCTGATTACAGTTATTTTTGGTCACCCGGATTAGTTTTTTTGGCCTAAGTATAATAATTTCATCAATTTCAAATCGATCTATGTAAAAAATAATCCGAAACTCCGGAATCGCCCGTGGCCTCTCGTGAGGGCGTTTCCGACCAGTGTGCAGCGCCTCCCTGGGACTGCGCAGCACGCTGTGTCTCTATAGCAGCAGTCCCAAACTGCCAGTCACACAGGCGCCGGAAGCGGCCGCCAGTGTCAGTGAAATCCCGGCGAGACCCGGCGCGCTGCAGCGCTGGTCGGCAGGCCATGGGGAGACCGGAGCAGTCCACCGGGATGTGAGCGCTCTCCGCCTTTCACCGGGCCGGCTAACGGACGGTGCGCGGTCCGGGAGCCACCGGCCGGACCTGCAGCTCCGATACCGTGCCGGTCTGTCCCGGACGAACGGACGTCCCGAGGGTAAGCCTCCACCGGGATCAAACATGGGACGGACAGGCTCAGTACTGATCGGCCGGCAGCGGGTGCTTTGAACAGAGTAGACGACATCGAATAGAACAGGGTTCTGCGGAACAGCCCCGGACCAAGTCCCGAAACAGAGGGAGCAGCCGATAGCTAAACCACAAACAGGAGACAAGCTGATACCGGTGACACGGAGACGGAAGGCCGGGGTGTCGCCATCCACAGTGACTGGCCGAGTTACGACCCGGCGCGGGCTGACACCGGCCGGTGCGAGGGTCCGGGTGCGAGGTGCGAGGGTCCGCGCCGGCCGGTGCGAGGGTCCGGCCGGCGCGGGTCAGTCGGGGGCCGCCGCCGAGCCGGACCTGAGTCGCTAGGTCAGGGTCACGCGGCGCCGGCCACCGGGGCACTTCCGGCGGCACTCAGCGGCCGGTGCTGTCGGCGACTGGTGGTGACTGGTGGTGCACGGCCCCCGCCTGCACCGGGGACAGACGGCAGAGGTAAATACTGAGATCTCGCCGGATCCGGACTGGACCGGACCGTGGGGAGGGCGTGTGACCGGCGGCGGCCGAGGCTGCCGAGCCGGACCCGGTGCACCGCTACGGCCCGGTGGCACTCGGCAGCCACCGGGCCAGCATGTCCGGTGGTGGGCGGCGCCGTTGGGAGTGGTCAGTGCGGTGCCGACAGGAGGTAAACCGCCCCCAGCCCGCGCCGATCAGCTGGGGCGGCCGGTGCCGGCGCGGCCGTTGATCCCAACCAGTGCAGGCCGGTAGTTCCGCGCCGTGCTGCTGAGCTGATTAGAGCGGCGGCGGAATGCAGCCGCCGTACGCCGGAACACGCACCGGAGCGCCGCAGTCGCGCCAGGCATGCCACATCCCCACAGGCACGCCGCCGCTAACCGCCGAGGACGCCCAAACCCGAAAATCAACGGGAAAGGGAGCGGGATTCCCTGCTGTACGTGCTAGAGAAGGTCGTCGCTGCATTTGCGACACAGAGCGCCACCGGTGACTGCGCAAAAACCGGGGAAATGCCCGCTGGCCGGCGTGCGGTGCCATCCCCGCCCCGGTGCTGAGTAGCGGTGCCACCAGTTCGGCGGGGGCCGGTGCCTGGCGGCGGGACGAGCCGCGGGAGACAGGTCCCGGCCGGTAGCGGCGGGTCTCTGGACGCTGTCAATGTTGAATGGACCGCGTGCCGACGCCGAAACCTGCTACGGCCACGGACCAGCCGTTGCATAACAGGCACGGCGCGCGGCGAGGCCACTGCTGTCTGTCCGATACGCCCGGACCGTCCCGCCGTGGGCTCGCCGATCGCGAACGTTCGCGGCGTATCGCGCTCCGTCGCATACATGGCACCACAGAAGGTATTGGAACGTCGTTTCTAAAGCACAGGAGGCAGACTGGTGAATATATGGGACCCATGATCGCCATGGTCATAGAATGATAAAACATTGCAATGTTTACCTGTTTGCAATGTTTACCGCCATGGTCTGAACATATCAGTGATACCATCGGTCCTGTAGCCCGCGACATACACGACCACAACACCCGAAACGCAGGGCTGATAACACAGCCACGGGCCCGAACAGAGACGGGGAGACGTCGACTATGTATTAGAGGAGTCGCGATGTTAAACGGTACCGAGTTGAGCCCGTATATACCAGCGTTTCGCGCCAATGTGAAGCGTGTGATCATGTCGAGACGCCGAGTAGCTGTCTGAACCTGTTCCAGTCGCACGCTTGTTTGTGTTTGCCAGTGATATCTATGCCTACTCGCACTGTCTATATGTTCCCCGTTTTATCTGGTTTTACGTGTCTGGTGAAAAGCCACTTTTATTGTGGATCCTAGATGAATACACATCTGTATCTGTATCTGTATCTGGTCACGAAAGGAATAAAATCAGCGCCTCCACAGGCCACAGCCATGGTGAAGCAGAAATGTTGACGGACCGTCGAAACCTTTGGAGCCCTCGTAGCCTTTGGAGCCGGCGTAGACTTTGGAATCGCTGGTACCGTCTGGCTGCAGAAGGTTGTGCCAGACCTACTAACAGCCATCAATCGTGAGCTGTTGGTTCCCCGAACTGTTGGTCGATCAGTCGCCAGCCGTCACGTCAGTGTGAGTGGCCACGGATCCGCTGTCGACTATCAGTCGTCAGAGCCGGCCATCACTGCCACCTGTCCGTCACCGCCCTCCCTCAGTCCGTCGCCGTTCTCAGCTCTGCCCGTCGTCGTTCTCGACTCAGTCCGTCGCCGCTCTCCGTCCATCCGTCGCCTCTCTCATCTCCGTCCTAAGCCTCTCTCATCTCCTTCCTTAGCTTACCGCCTGACCGTCCGTCGCCGCCGTCAGTCCTGTCACGCACACGCCCAACCTGCACCGAAGAGAGGCAGAGAGCGATGACCGACCTCTGCAAACTCCTCGCCGCCTCTCCGTGCAGCCCACTATCCGACTGGGTCAACGCTCGGGCCTCGGGGAGCAGCGGAAAGCAGAGGACCCAGCGGCGAGGACGCTGTAGCTAGAGTCGGCTCCGTGTGCTGGCGAGAGAGAGACAGGTGGTCTTCCTTACAGGGATGACGGCCGAAGGAGAACCGGCCCACGGGTATGACTGTTTTCGAGGGGAGGCAGATATGTGATTCACAAGAATCGTGACTTAATTCTCAATCTGGCAGCTCACCCCATCAGCTCACCCCTGCCCCCGCTTTCAAAGCCCAGTCATCAGACCAGTGTGGGACGAACAAATGCGGCTCAACAAGTTTGGAGGCCTACATAAGCGACACACAACCAGTTTTGACGAACGGTGATGTTACTCCAACCAAACGAGACTGAAATTACATCTGCAACTACGGAAGGAGGGACTGCAGCAAAGGCATACCATTACTGGTGCACACATATCCTGATGTCGGACAGCGGTCGTCCGGCGGCCGCTCTGACTGTCCGCAGGCTCGCCGGGCGGTGGCGGCGCTGGGCAGACGGGCCGGCGCCGGGGACCGCCGCGCGGCGCCGCGACCGCCGCGCGGCGCCGCGACCAGTGAGTCACGCGGCTTCCGGCGGCCGGCCGCTCACCGGCGCCGTCAGGGCCGGCGGCACACACCCACCCAGACCGGGCCGCTTCCGTCCGCACCTGCGGAATGTGGCGCCACGGCACTGCAACCGGCACGCAGCCGCCGCCGGCTCCGCGCGCTGGTCTGAGAGGCCGTGCACGCCGACCGGAGCGCACCCAGGCTCTCTCCCGTTTACGCCCACGCCTCTGGTAGGGAGCCGCGCCTTCCGCACCCAGGTCAATCGCAGACACACCACCCCTTCCACGCCCATATCTATCGTGCACACACCGCCCCCGCGCACCCATGTAGGCGCCAGCACTGACTTCCGTTTACAAACATTGCAATAGCCACGGGTATATGTATATACCAGTCTGCACCAAACCGTGCCCATTCCGCACCTACATTCTACAGCCTACAAAACTGTACATGCAGTCTAATAACAAGCTTATTTTCGATACCTAGCTCATAGCTGGTAGTCCACAACGAGCCGGTTAGAAGTTCTTCTCCGCAGAAAACGCTTCTCCGAATCATAAAAACACGAATCAGAGCACGACAGAAGAGTTCTGGGAGCGCGTAGTCCTTCTCCCTTGTCGTACTGACTTAAAAGTCACCGTCCAGCACAAGAAGAAGATCTATTCTGCTCTCCTCTACGCCTTCCAGCCAACTAAACTCACAATCCCCCTCCTGGCACATCCACAGCTCGCAGACACACATCTCACATCATCACCAACCAATCGCGCTGTCATACGTCATATATCTCACATCATAACCAGCCAATCATGCTCCCATACGTCATGCCCGGCCCAGCTACTTGCAGGGTGTAACTCGGCCCTGCCGGCATCAGATGCCGGCGGCTATGACCAACGCTGGGTCACCGGTTCACAGCTCGACGCTGAAGCTGACTCACACTTATACGGCTCACATTCATCCTTGCGTCACGCTACATCACCCCCTGGTTCTGAAGAACCACATTACTCTACATGTTACATGTCATTCAATCAACGCATCAACTACATCCTCTGGCACACCATCGCCATATCTTTCCGGCTCTCTTCGAACACGCGTACCACGCCGCAGCGTCGCAGGCACGAACGTTTCACTCTCGTCTGCGGACACATCGGACCCGGTCGGTGGATCGGGGTCCGGGGACTGAGCGACGCTGGGCGGCCGCGTGTCCGACTCCGTCACATCACTCGGAGCTGGCGACACACACACGCCATCACACTCGCTGTCATCAGACCACTCCACCGTTGGCGCTCGCAGAGCCCCTGGCCTCGGACATTCAGGGACGGTCAACCGATGTCGGAGGTTTCGCACATGTCGTGGGACATTATCGACTTCGATTGTCTGGGCCGAAACGACGCCTGTCACAATACCCTCGTCTGACTTTACAAAACATCGGTCGCCCCGCCGCCGAACCCACACCTTGTCCCCTACCTGGTATACACCGGGTTTCTTCAGCGGCAGGGCGTCACCAGGCTCGTCTGAGGTTCTGCGGGGCGTCACGTCAACGTCTCGGCCAGGGTGTCGAAGCACCCCGTTGATTGGAGCTGTGGCCGGGTCACTGCCATCCTTCGGTGTCACGTTGTATCGATGGACTGCTTCAGCAACGGAGCAGGACTGCCGGGCCACCATCACTTTGATGGTACGATGATGGCGCTCGACGATGCCGTTCCCGCCGGGCTCGTAGGCAGCGCGGAACCGGATGGATACGTCCCAGCGAGCCGCGAACGCTAACATGACCCGGCCACGGAACTCTGTCGCATTGTCCGTGAGTATTTCCGCCGGGGCTCCACGCTCTAGAAACACGTTCTCCAGCTCACTCACAATCTCCAGAGCTCCTGCCCGGCGAAGCCGTCGCCATATGGCGTACCTCGACGGCCCGCAGTCCACCAGCGTCAGGTATGGGTGGCCGTGCACGTGGGTGACATCCATGGCCAGGCGATCCCACGTGCGTTCTGTTCCGAGTGACCCACCGGGCCAGCGCTCCGGCGCCGGGTCAATCGAGGCACACGTCTGGCATCGTCTGACCACGTCTCGCACAGCTGGTTTTGACACCCGCCTCACCCCCAGCTCACGTCGGGCGTACCACAACGTTCTCCTCACTCCTTGGTGACTGATGTTTTCGTGGATGGTGCGGATGTCACTCGCTGAGGCACTTGTGATGGCAGCGACAGCCACCGGTTGTGCTTTGGACGAATCAGTGGTTGGCTGGTCGGCAGTCTGCAGCCAGGCGTTGGGCACCCGCGTCACCTCATCAGCACGGTTGACCGCTGACGCGACCAGCTCGATAGTGACCTCCAGTTCGTACTCGATGACGAGCTGACGGAAAACAGCCACGCGCCGTCGGATAAGCATTTCGGACTGCGCCTTGGTTCGCAGCCTTGCCTTACCCGACAGCGCGTCACTCAGCCAGCGGTGCACCGTCACCGAGTCTGTCCGGAGCGTCAGGCGACGGAAGCCCCATGCTACCGCCAGGTTGACACCGTTGAGAGCGGCATCCAGTTCTGAGATATTGATGTGCACGTCCCTCTCCGATTCGGCACGCAGCCAGGACGCGTCCTCGATGATGGCGCCCGTGTCAGGGTCAGTGAGCACGACACCGCGGGCGATGGAGCTGGCGTCGGTCCACACCACGACGCTCGTCCCTGTCACACACCACTGGCCGCGTGCCGGGTCACATGCTCGAAACCGCCGTGACACCTCATCCACCTCACGTTGTAGTTCCTCGCTGACGATCGGAGTGTCCCAGTCCGGGCTGAGGCGGTTGGCAGTCCGCTTCATCCATGCAGCGGCCGGCCGCAGCCAGCCTGCGACCGGCACATGAGATGTCAGCTGGCCGGCCCACGCGAAGACAGATCGCCGCGTTAGCACGGGTGGAGCCTGCGTTGGTGACTCCCCGTCCCTACTCCACTGGAGTGCCGGCCCGTCGCTCTCGGCGACACGAAGGCCCAGCATACGTGCACCGGTCGCGACCCGCTCCGGCGGCTTGCATGTGAGCCCGAATCGAGCGAAGTGCTCGGCAACCTCATCAGCCGAGACCACCGCTTCGTTGACCAGCAGATCATCGGCGTAAGGCAGCACTGCCTCTGCCAACCCGGGGCTCTGTGCGAGCACCTTCCTGACCACAGCCTTCATGATCAGAGGCGCGATACTGAGCCCAAAGCCGACCCTGGTCAGGCAGTACCGCCGCCCTTGCACGATGACTGTCTGGTACGGCCACAGGGCCGGGTCCACACGAAGCTGAAGAAAAGCTTTCTTCAGATCCAGGACAGCGACCCGGCGTCCGTGACGTCGCCACCTTCGCAGCTCTTCCACGCAGACGTCAGCGTCGGCTGTGTGACGTGTCAGGTGTTGATTGAGTTCCCGATAATCTAACACCGGCCGCACCTTGTCCTTCGCTGCCTGAGTAACCACCATCAACGGGATCAATCCCTGTGCGGGACCGTACATCGTCTCATCGTATTCGCGCAGCCAGCCCTCACTAATCCACAGCGCCAGCTCTGCATCGAATTTTTCACGCGCACAACTCGGCACACCGTACTGAGCTATCGAGTTTCCAAGCGGGGGCGGAGCCACGCCACCGGCCCATTTCCAACGGACTGTCCACACATCATCGAACACAGCCGTGAAGTCAGTCTCGTCAATCCTTAGCTCCGGCTCCGTGTCGACCGCTCGACACACCTCCCGCTCCGGCGGGACCTCACGCTGCACCACAGCAGCCGTGTCGACCGCACGACACACCTCCCGCTCCGGCGAGGCCTCACGCTGCACCACAGTAGCCGTGTCGACCGCTCGACACACCTCCCGCTCCGGCGGGACCTCACGCTGCACCACAGCAGCCGTGTCAACCGCTCGACACACCTCCCGCTCCGGCGGGGCCTCACGCTGCACCACAGCAGCCGTGTCGACCGCTCGACACACCTCCCGCTCCGGCGGGACCTCACACTGCACCACAGCAGCCGTGTCGACCGCACGACACACCTCCCGCTCCGGCGGGGCCTCACGCTGCACCACAGCAGCCGTGTCGACGCTCGCAACTGGGTTGTCGCTCCCGAAGCGAACGGATCCTCCACTTACACTCACGCCCTGCAGGGCGTCAATGCCGGTCATGCCCAGCAACACGTCTACGCCCAGCAACCGGGCCGGTACGACGACCGCCCGCACACTCACTGTCGCCCCGCGCACTCCAAGGCTGACCACAGCCCGCCCACAGCACAGCACCGGGCTGTCGTTGACAGCGACCAAGCTGGCGTCACTCCGCTCCCAGCAGGACACCATGCCCTTCCACACCACTGTCTCGCTGCACCCTGTGTCGACGAGTGCTCGGCACTTGCGCCCATTTACATTGATGTCGATGATGGGGGCTCTTGGGTCACTGCGGCAGCTGGCGACGGCGGAGCCCGTGGCGCTGATGTAGCGCCGTCGCCGTGCCCGTTTGGGCAGAGCCGGGCGATGTGGCCTACCTGGTTACAGGTCCAACACCGCAGTGGTGGACGGCGACCCGTCCCTCTGGCTCCCCGCTGCTGCTGTACATATGATGGCGGCGGCTGGACGACAGCCACCGATGCAGTCGCTCTCTCCCTGGCCGCCATCGCCAACGTTGACCTAGCGACGGCGACGGCTCGCTCCAAGGAGAGAGTTTCATCTCCAGCACTGTTACGTACTGTTAGCCGCACCTCCGGCGGCAGACCTTGCAGGAAGTGCGTCGTCATCACTTCGTTGGACACTGAACCTATGAGGGATATCAGCCGCTTGACTGATCCCAGGTAGGCATCCACAGACTCGCCCGGTTGTAGACGTCGGTGATACAGCTCATACATAGCCGCGTCGGGTCCCAATGCAAATGCACGATGCAGTTTTTGGCGGACGATTGCAGCATCCCGCTGCTCGGTGGAGGAGAGGGTGGCCCACACCTCGTACGCCTGGTCCCTCAGGCGTGTGGGTATGACAGCGGCCAGTGACACACGACGCAGGGCACACAGCTGTGTCGCCTGCTCCAGCCATCTGACGACGTCACCGCTGCCGTCGAACTCCGGTATTGCCCGCAGATCGAATGCAGGCGCAGGAAACTCTGGTTCCATGGTATTGGTACCAGCTACCGGTGCACCACTGCCCTCTTCTACGTCAGACATAATCACAACACTTAGTCGAGAAGGCCGAAATAGCTTGTCGTACTGACTTAAAAGTCACCGTCCAGCACAAGAAGAAGATCTATTCTGCTCTCCTCTACGCCTTCCAGCCAACTAAACTCACAATCCCCCTCCTGGCACATCCACAGCTCGCAGACACACATCTCACATCATCACCAACCAATCGCGCTGTCATACGTCATATATCTCACATCATAACCAGCCAATCATGCTCCCATACGTCATGCCCGGCCCAGCTACTTGCAGGGTGTAACTCGGCCCTGCCGGCATCAGATGCCGGCGGCTATGACCAACGCTGGGTCACCGGTTCACAGCTCGACGCTGAAGCTGACTCACACTTATACGGCTCACATTCATCCTTGCGTCACGCTACATCCCTAAATACACGGGTGCCTTTCCAAACACACAGAGGTGGTTCCGGAACGAGGCACATCGCGTCGGCTCGTTAGTCGCGTGGTGACGTGGACCTCCAAAACAGGCCGGGCCAAGTACCGCGCAAAACCCCAGCTATCGGGACGCCCCGGTCCATTGGCCATGACCGCGGACATTGGGCAAACCGGCCGGGCCGGGCGTCGTCACGGGACCAGTGCGGCGCGGATTTGGGCGGAATTCTCTGCGTCGCAAATGGGCCGCGTCACCAGTGGCGCAGTTCAACGCCGCCGATATCGTCGGATGGAACCGTTTGAGCCGGGGATTTCGGCGCCTGTTTACGCCGGTGGCTGTGGAAGCTTCCGAGACCCGCCGTTGTGAGACCCCGAGCTGAGAGCTCACCTCTCTCACAGCCAGGAAGCTCTGGGAGCATGATTTCCGCATTGCGTGCGTGATATCGGGCGTGCTCTGAGGTTGGCTGCAGAGATGACGGTCCGATCTAGCGCAGCCGGCCGTTTTGATGCGATGAGAGAGCGCATCTCAACACAGACTCCGGCGCGGTGTCGGCACGATAAGTGATCGCCGCTGGCGATGCTATCGGCGGCGCTGCCTCCAAAGACGAGCTGCACGACCGGCGTGTGAGCTCACCCGGGGGAGTGGCTATCGCTGCCCGATCTGCGGCCGCGCTGGCACTCCACTGTCGCTCCATGACAGCGGGACAGCGCCGGTACAGGTCAGAGCCATTGATCCCACCCCAAACCGGCCACGGACACTGCCAGTTTCTTCACATAACACAACTTTTTGGTGTACTTATGCAATGGATAGCTTTTCGGCAGGCGGCGAGACAGCCGACAACATGTTGACCGCTATCAAAAAGTCATTCATACAACATGTAGCATGGTTTCGGCAGATGAGAGTCATAGTTGAGATGCACGCCCGATGTTTTTATCTGCTCCCTTTCAAAACGCGCCGCTCATGCAACATGGAAGTGATCCGTTGATACGGGCATGGCATCGCAAGTCATCACACTGCGGAAAAGATGACAACTACCTCGTTTCCTTACAGTGTAGTGCATATGAAGCGAGTGCTAAACACTGAAAATCTTGAGTCAAAATAACATGTCGAGACTCATGAATATGGATATTTTGCTATTTCAAATGCTCTGCTGTTCTCTCGCTCTGATGTATGGCTCTATAGCTGCCCTCTGTTCGATATATGTCAACATATGATTACATAAATCACTCGGGGCACAATGGGGGAAAATCCGGGACGCATGAGAACGATCGTGAGCGACGTATCTAAAATCACGGAGTGCAACGTTAGATCAATCATTATTCCTAACCTGATGGCCGATTAACTGACGCATCAAACCGTCTCGGCCCTACTGTCCAACGCAGTTGATGTCATTGGGGTAGTTAGCCGGATCTAACTGGCCGATGCGACGGTGTGAATACGCTAATTTGTTAGTATCCTGGTCCGCAGGATATGAATGAAACACAATAGCTACGACACATCATTCAACAGTACGTACACAACTGACACAATCTAAGACCAAGATCACGCAGACCGGAAAATAACGGCAAAAGACACGCGAGTGATCGGACGCGCAACAAACAAATGGAAATGTACTTGATACTCAGTTCCATGACGCTGGAGACCACCAGAACATCGCTGCGCAGTGAGCTGCGCTGGATCTTACCAGTCTTCCATACCGCTGCGGCGGGAGGCCCACGCCAAGCCGCTCGCTGGCTGTGTCGCCCGCCATGAGCTGCCGAGGAAAGCATGATGAGGTCGAGGAAGACGCGACAGTACACATGTCTCGTGGCTGGCGCCATCCTCTTCACTACATCTTCGTGGAGAGCCGGCGAATGTCCGAGGTCTTCCTCTCCGGGGACAGCTCGAGACTCGAGTCAGGATCTGTCTGCCCCTTGTCTGGCACTTACCTCTTCCCCATGCACTAGGCAAAATAACGTCCGTTTCGACATCTGCTAACCCATTCCCAACCCCAGGCCACAGAGGGCCCCGTCCCGGTACCAGGCACCTCCACTCTGCTGTCCCAGTCACGGCGGGAGGTTGCCGCGGAAGGTCTCCCCGGACCAACAAAACCCGTGAGCGCCTCCAGCGAGCGTGACTGGCCAATTCGTGATCCGATAGTACCGCCGCGGTGTCGTGAGAGGCTCAGCCCCCGACTGCCGCACCCGAGCTGCTACACTCCCTCGATTGCAACACTACAACGACAGCGAACCGTTAGCCGGGCAGGTGCAGTAGTAATAGCGAACAAACGTGGAGCGGTGCGGGCGGCAAACAGACCCTACACCCATCTGCAGCTGGCATGCAGCAGCAATATAGCGACAAACTCGCGGAGAAACTGTGTAACTGCATACTACATACAGTAAACGGCAGGGTATGTGCTCTCTCAGATCAGACTGAATCCTTCACACCTAACACGGTATATTATTAGCGCAGTATCCTTGGCGAGGGTCTGCCAAGTTCTATTCCAGAAGCGCCGGGGTATTTGAAGTCGATGGGCACCAGACGGCAGACAGCCTTGGCGTTTGGCGCCCGTCTGCGGTGAGACGTTTCCTGGGGCGGCCAGGTGAGGGGTGAAATTCACGAGCGGCCGGAGCCCGACCGAACCGTGACAGACTCTGGCTCGGACGT